CCTTGGCTCCAGAGACTCATCCCCCCTCTCTGCCCCCTCCTGGCAGGGAGTTGCCGAGGGCCAGGAGGTCTCCCCTCAGCCTCCTCTTCTCCAGACTGAACCCCCCCAGTTCCCCCAGCCGCTCCCCAGCAGACCTGTGCTCCAGACCCTGCCCCAGCTCCGTTGCCCTTCTCTGGCCACGCTCGAGTCATTCAATGGCCTTTTTGTAGCGCGGTTCCTCACACATTGTGACCGATAGCAAGGCTCCTGGTGGCCGTCACAGCTGTCTCGCTGAGATGGAACTCTACCCAGATCACCTTGTATTTCATCCAGACATGGTGGATCTGGGCTACCCCCTTCCTTCCTAGCTGGAGGACATCTGCCACCGGCCTGACTTGAGGAGCTCTGTCCTGTTGCTTGGAGCCCACCAGATCAGCGACGGACCCAGATGTGCTTTGGGAAAGGGAAGAACAGAGCAGGATGCCTGCAACGGTCAGGCCTTAGGTGGAAAAAGCAAAATACCACGCAGGTCTTCCTTTTTTTCCTGAGGTTTCTGGATCCCATGATCTACCCCCTCTGGTCCTTCACCTAACCCTGTTGTCGTTGAATGGCCAGATGAAGCAACCCAGCCCTCCCTGACCCGCCAAGGAAGTAGGAGAGGACACGACCAGATGAGCCCGATGCTTTTGGGCGCTGGGCTGGACCACCTGCCCTGCGTGCACCACCTGCATGACTCAGGGACACTGGGAGCACGACCCATGGCTGCAGCCTTCTCGCCTTGTCCCATGGCCTCTCTTTTCCCTGTTAAGGCTGCAGTTTACAACCCTGAGCTGAAACGAGGGTTTCCTCCCTGCGCCATGGAGGAGAGCTGCGATTGGAGCCACCCTCCAGAAAGAAAAAGGGAGAAAGTGCAGAGAGCTGACATCAAAACATCCCTGGACCGGGCAGTTTGCTCCTCCTCGCTGCTCCATCACGGGTTGAAAACACGCTTTGTCTGGCTCCAGTTGCACAAAAGGGACAGGCCTTGCACAACACGCTCCCAAGGTCTGGCACAAATACACCGGTCAGCTGCCAAGCTCCAAGTGGGTTAAGGTTTCTTCCTTAAAACTCCCAGGCTCTGTTAACTGTTGAATACCTTTCATGACACCCATCAGGTTAGCACCCACCCAGCCCTGTTTCTGCAGCATGATTCACCCTGCTGCCCTCCCCTCAATTTTTTTATGTCCCTGGGAATGGAGCTTTATCACCTCCACGCTGTGTTCTTCTGACACCATCTGCACTTCCCACTACCCCGGTTGTGTTTGCCCAGACTTTTCTTCCAGCTTTCCTCACCCCTTGCTTGAAAAAAAAATGAGCTGCTCTCTGCTTTAACGGGCACCCGTCCCCCACCCCATGGCTGTGGTGCTGGTTGGAGTCCAGAGTCCTTGCAGTGGCCCTGGGCGTGATCACAATATCAACAGCACACAAAAATAGCTGGTTTTGGGACCTGGCCAGACCCCAGTCTGGGTCCCAGAGCTTTCGCACCCTTCTCCTTCAGGACACAGGGATAGGGGCCAGGTGATGCCCCAGATGCTTTCCCCCTCCAGGCTCCACAGGAAACCCCCCAGTTTGACTCCAGTGACTGGTTAAACTGGGACTTGGGGAGCTGTAAATAAATATTCTTCCGACCCTGAAGGGCGGTGGTTAATCCCTGAACAGTGTCTGCACATTTTGTGCAGAAATGCCACCACAGGAGAAACGGTGAAGCATCGATATTTCCCTCCCATCCCATCTTATTTCTTACGCTCACTTTGCCTGTCTTTAATTATTTCCCCCCAAGCACTGTGTGTTTGCTTTGATTTATTTTTGCTTTGCACCAATATTTCTCAGCTCCCTCCTTCTCTCTTTCCAGTTCTGGGTGAAATATTAATCTTGTTTATTATTATTAACCTCCCCTCTCTCTAATCTATTTAAATGCTTTCTCACATTTCCACTTCCTACAGCCCATTTCTCACTTGCAGATTTTCTATTCAGCTGCACTTTGCTTTAACAGCATCATTTATTTACTGTTCATTTATTTGTTTTAATTTCAAAGCCTTTCTTCTTTCTTGTTGTGGGCTGTGCTCAGGCATTGCTCCTTTCTTCCTGCTGAGGAGCTGCATTTTTCTGCTCGGCTGGCTCCAAGATGAGCTGAATCAGTGTGATATTTCAGTCTCGTTTCTGGATTTTTGATGTGGATGGAAGGGAAGGAAGTTTTGTTTTCCATTTCTCTAGCTGGCTGAGAGAAGCCTGGCGATTATACAGAAAACAAACATGTAGAGTAATACCTTCTATTTCTCCCCATGCTCCAGCAGATCATGTTTCCTTCCTGATGTCATTCATCCATGTATTTATACAAAGTCTTGTTCAGAGACTATGGCCTTTACGCAGATTATTTCTGAAGTATAGTTGCTACATTAGCTGTCACGTGGATCTCTCACATCCTTTCTAAAAGAGGAGCTAATTAAAGATTCATGCTCAAGGTCAGGGCAAATCCAGAGAACAGAGTTGAAGACTTTGAAAACTCGATGCTCGTCCTCTCCACCCTGCTCTGGGCACACACAGAGACAGAAATAGTCGGGGGCTGAAGCTGCTGTAAAAAAAAAAAACAAAACAAAACCCAAAACATGAACTGGGCAAAGGAAGAATGACTGGAAGCAAAAAACTCATCACAAGGGGTGAGCATGGGGCCATCAGCCCAAGGTCTTGCAGACAGGTCGTCAGAGGAAGAGCCTATGAACCAGCTCCTTGGGGAGTAACTTGGGAAAAACAAGGGGCAACTGGATCTTCCTTATTCTGTTTCCACACCATTTGTGACCTTACAAACCTTGACTCTCAGCTCCCCACAGTCATTTCTCTCTCTGAAGACGAAGGGTCCTGTTCTGCTGAGATGTCTTCTTGACCAGGACTTGTTTTATTTCTCAGTCATTTTTGCTCCCATTTGTAGTTTAACCCCTGCAGCCGTTGCCATGCACTTTGTGCCTCTTCTTCATCCTGAGTCATTTGGCAAGAGGAGGCGAAGTGGTTGTGGGATCAGAAGGAGGGAACCCAGAAGGACTTGAAAGGTCGTGAGGGACTGGAAAAACCTGATAGAGTCCAGAGTTGGTCTCCAGGTATCAACAAACATTGTCACTTGGAAACCCTGGATGCTTCTGTAGGGCAGAGAAGAAAAGTAAAACAAAAGCATCAGACCCCATCCCTGCCTGGATCGTGGGAGCCTCTGAGTGACAGTCTCCAGACACAAATAGCGTCACTGCAGGAATGATACAAGCTGGTTTTCTGCCTTAGTACAAGTGAGATAATTCTGAATGGCTGCAGACAAACCAGCAAAAATCTTTTTTTGCCTCCTCTCCTACTCCCACAGATGCGAAACTCTCATATCATGGTAGGGAGAAATGACAGAGGATGCCGGGTGGTACCTACTATCTTCCAAGTGATGAGCCACCCGAGTGGCACAGCTGCCTCTGCTTTGCTCCAGGTTTCGCCATTCAACCCGGTGGAGTAAGAGACTCCCATGTTTGAATGAGATAAATTGTTCCCCAAATTAGCAATGCACACACGGTCAGCGGGAGTAGGCCTTGGAAAAAAATGATAGGATCTGAATGGGATGTAAAAAAAAAAAAAAAATTGCTATCTGGAGCCTCATAATAGGTTCCTACGCACAAACACACCCATCGCTGATCACATCTTCTGTGCTGTCACTCCCCAAACCTCAAATTACTGTCATCTAAGGAAGTTAAAGTAAACGTGGTTCCAGTATAAAAACTTACTGTGGCGCATCATCCCACATTGTTCAGACTCTGAGGGCACAACAACCATGAAGGCTTTTCTGATTGCCCTGCTGGCGGCAGTCCTGTGTGCCGAGCAAGGTAAGGAGCTCTGGAAGCTGGGAGAGCCAGATGGAGAGGATGAAAATACCAGAAGAAAAAATAGGGATAACACAGGGACGAGAAGGTTGACAGCTTTTATTGCTATTGGTGAGGTCTTGGTAGTGCAGTTTTTCTTTGGCATCAGCTGCGTCAAGCAATATTTGGTGTGGTTGAGTCTCGGTTGAGTTCTGCCGAGGTGTCCATAACCCAGAGAAGATGAGCTCACCGCTCTGGTTTCTTACACCCTCAAATGATCAAGGTCCGACCACTCACGTCTGATGGTAGACATGTGAGCTGAAAAAAAGCTAATAGGAATTAAGCTGGGCTCACAGTTTTTCTTTTGGTTTTATTTTGTTCCTGAATGAAACCCGAGTTGGTTGATTACGCTCATATTGACCCCCCATCTTCTGCCAGCGTATCACTTTATTTCCTACAATGGCATTACAATTAAGAAATTAGGCTGCTGGCAGATATTTTAAAGCCTACAGCTCTTTGCTTCTGTGTTTGAAGAGGTTTTTTTTTTTTTTTGTTTTTTGTTTTTTTTTTTTTAATGTCTGGGAGTGTGTTTATAATGGGATCCACAATGCTCTGTGCTTGTCCTCTTTCAAAAGAAGTGCAGATATCATCAGATAATTGTGCAGAAATATCCAGTTGAGAGAGACGTTGGCTCTGTGCGTGTATTTGCAATCTCGAGGAGCACTGCAAGCCTTTTTGCACCGTTAAGGCTGTTTCTGGCTGCATTCACCAAACTAGAGCTAATGGAGGGTGGAGGCCAGATGCAGGGAAGGTTTTATAGCAGCTATAATCGTTTAAGCTGTTATTGTTTCCTGACTCGGAGGGATTTTCCTCGCATCACTCAGTGCGTATCAGTTGCTTATACGCACATGCTGGGGTCTCGGCTCCATCTGCAGCAGGAAGTGGTTCGAACAACTTTGCGTGATTTGGCAGAAAAGCAGAACAGAAAATGCTACAAGGTCTGTAAAATGCACTAACACTTGCTAGGCAGCGTGTCTGGGAGTGCTCTGGCATGGTTTGTAAAAGGGCAGTAGCTCACAGCTCGGGTTGGGGAACCTCCAGAGGAGAGGGAACGCTTCACTCGTCCAAGCGATGGAGAAACAGCGAGTGCTGAATAGTCGGTTAAAGAGAAATTAAACCCAGGATGTAACAAGGATTTTATCTGCCGTTACGGAGAACACCTGCGCTCGCAACATCTGGCACTAGAAAAAAGAGCAACTGGGTACGTCTCAGAGCAAGACAGTCAGCCATATGCTGGCACCAGAGCTGTACCCAAGGCACCTGAGCTCCCCACATCACAGAGGCGAGGCCTTTTCTTCTCCTACCTGGGGTAATTAGGGCCTAAAACGGCTTTTAATTCTCTTTCAGAACTGCTTGTGGATTTGTTTAACCAAGCATCATGTATAGGTTCAACTTCAGAGATGAATTTGAATCGACAGCAGCTGGGCTTTGGGGAGTCCCTGGGGAGAGTTTGTTACAACCAAGTTCAGATTCAATCAGAAGGTTCTGTGCACAGAGAAGAGCCTTCCTGGGTTGAGAAAGCCAGGAGGAACTGAACCAGGCATATTCAGCCTAAGAGAGGACGCCCCGTGGTTTGCAGCTTGTCACCTTCAGCCCAGAGCTCTCCCCAGTGGTGACAGCGGAGCGGGCTGTCCTGAGAGCGGCTAACTGCCTCTGTCACCCCTGCTCAGGAACGAAGAGCGTTTCATGGCACTGTGAACAGGAGGGAAGCAGTTTCCCACCAGTTGTGAATCCACCTCTGGGGAATGAGATGGCGCGTGCTTGTGTTTCTAGCATGGCCAGTTTGGCCAGCCTGGGAATTTGATTCAGTTTACTTCAGTTTTGTTCAGAAATACGTATCCTACTCCTTCTGGCTTTGTAATAGACTTGGTTTAGCCCTGCTAATAATATCACTGAGAACATGTTGTTCCAGGCGCTGATAGAAATAATCTCCCTATTGTCCGAGCAACCTCTCCCAGGGAACTCCCTTTAACGCGGTTCCGTGCTCAGTAATTTAGCTCACGGGGGTGTCGTAGGCTTTAATTAATTCATGTCTGTACAGGTTTTTTTTGCAGATGCAGTCTGAAAATACTAAAACTAAGCTCTCACCTGAGCACGGTGCCAGTTCATCCTTGCCAGAGCTGTGCTAGACCCAGCTGGGCACGTAGCGAGCTCTGCTTTTGCAGGTTGGCTCTCAAGCAGGTCACTGTGGACCTGGAGAAAAAGAAAGGTCACCCGAGAGCGCTGCTCAGGCTGGAAAATCAAAGCCAACCTCTTATTTCATGGAAACTTGTTTGTAGCATACTTTTCACCTTGTATTTTCCAAGAAGGGACATGGCTTTTGACACTTTCTTCCCAGAGGGCATTGCTGGAAACCGCTGACGTGTGTCATGTGCACTCCTCTTTCCAGCTTCCTCGCTGTTCTGCTACACATGCGACAACGAGCACTCCAACTGGACTGTCTTAAAACCTACAAGTGTGAGGACCATGAGAAATACTGTATAACCACATACAGCTCCGCTGGGTTTGGTGAGTAACAGCGATACCTTAAGGCTTTTTTTTTTTTTTTTTTTTTTCCTCCCGTCCAGAGAAACTGATGAGCAATAGTGGGTTTTTTGGGGGGGCAGGAGTTGGTCTTGTTGGAAAGAACTGATCGCTGAGGTTTGCAGATCACCGCACGTAATGCGTGTGAATCCCTCAGCCGTGCTTTGGGGTATGTTCCTCACCACCTCGTGGCAGGGCTGGTTGAAGCACACGGATTTTATTGACACCACACCCTCCTGCTTGATGTGAGGGCTTTGTGATGGAGGGTGGAAAGGGATTGGATGGGAGTGAGGTGGTTTTAGAAACCAAAGTGCGTTGGCAGTGATTTTTTGCCATCCTACATGAAGCATGGTGTGGGTTTCTACCAAGGGCTTTCTGGTGTCCTGCAGCCGATCCAGGATGGGTGAACGATCACCCAGAACTCATCCAATCCACCGACTGCTGTTATCGCTGCACTGCAAATTAAGCATAATGCAGTATATCTCCTCCTATCGTCCTCTGGTCAGCTCTTGCGGAAGAATCTGAAATCACAGCTCTCCCTTCTTGTCTATTCTCCATCCAGGCAAGGACACAGGACACCGCATCACCAAGAAATGTTCTGCAGACTGTCCTGATACGAACGTGAACTTCGGTATGGCGGCTTTTTCCACCAAATGCTGTGGTACCTCCCTCTGTAATTTCAGTGGTGCCAACAGCGTAAAAATCAGCTATGCCGTGATGTTCCTGGGAATTGTGGCCAGTTTGGTGTGCGTCATCAGGGCAGGATTGTGAGGAGGGGTGGGAGAAGACGTGACAACCCAAGAACCTACAAAATATTCCCCAGCTGAGAAACCAACATCCTCTGACAAGTGTCCCCAACAGGGTCTATGTCTACCCTGTTTTTTTCCAAGACACTGTTTCAGATCCCTTCCACAAAATGGCACGGCAGTGTAGTTCCTATTTTGTCCCCTGTATCATTTGTTGTTTTGTACTAATTTTCCCTGGGAAAGCTCTTTTGATAGCATGCGTGTGACGATTGTCAGACAAAATAAAGATTTATGTTATTCTAGAGTGTGTTTGCTGTATCCACGCTAAGATCAGCCTGAGGAAACAGCTCTGCCAGAAAGGTCTGTAGTCTGAATCTCAACTTCACATTGAATTCCTCTTTTTAGCACCTGGGAGTCTTCTCCTGGCTGCCTTTCTCAGCTGACTCTGTTTCATCCAACAGCTCAAGGCAGACACTCCAGAAGGCCAGATGTTCTGCCTGATCACTCAGTGCTCAGGAATGAAGGTGTCGATCTGGAAAGATCAAAGATGTTTGTGTTGTTCCATTGTGAACAGCAACGAGAATTGTTTTGTAACCACTAGCGCACAGGACTGGGGGGTTGCCAGGTGTTGGCTGTGCTCCTCGCTCTGCTGAGAAGTTCTGTGTGATGTCTGCAGGGTGGATGTTTTCAGCTTTTCAAATAGGTAAAGGGCCCACACCAAGGTGCTGGAGAGGTCCAAGATGAGGACGGTGCTGCTGGAGCTGTTCTCATGGAAAGGGGAGCTCCGTGCCTGCTCGGAGAACGCGCTGCTGAGTGATTGCTCATGAATTCCCTGCAAGGGACAGGGCACACGGGCAGAAGAGCCTGGCAGAGGCAACGGGTGTCTGATCCAGGTCTCTGCTCCCTCCCTTTCCTCTGTCGCTGCTTCATTTCCAGGCTTGGGGATGAAGGAGATGGGTGGAGATTCCTCTTGGAGCAGCGGAGCTGTAACTTCGATGGGCAAAATACGTGCGCCCTAGGAGCTGGAGGGCGCGTAACGCCTGGCTGAGAAGTTTATAAATTCAGTCCTGCATTTTGGGAGGGCTTGTATCTAAGTGGCACCTGGGAAAAAGCCTCAACGTTTGCAGCCCAGCTGGATTTGAGGGGAACCCTGCTGCAGCAGCGCTCAAGACAGGCTGCAAAGCGCGCGTGTTTCTGTGCAGCGGGGAGAAACCACAGCGCTGGCTGGAGGCTGTGAGCATGGGATTAGGTTTAGTCATCCCATAAAAATTAAATTTCTGGGCAAGGAGAATGTTTTGGCATTTATTTAAATACGAGACTGGCTAACTGCATAATGGTTGTGTTCTACCATTTCTGTGTTGAGGGACCAACAGAAACTTGGGGTTTTTTGCACTTCTTTTTAACCATGTGTCCCATCGCTTTTCCTGTATGTTAATCCTAATAATTTCTGAAGTGATCGCAAAGCTTTTGGCCAACCTGAAAATCCACGTTGAGTAAAAACATCTGAATTTCGCAGTTACTTTCAAATTTCAGCTTTTCTGTCATGAAAACTACAAGGTTTCACAAAAATAAACGGTTTGCCCGTCTCACACGACAATTTCAACCAGGTTTAGAACACGATGAGCAAAATGCTCTCCTTCCTTCTCCACTCAGCAACTGTGTCAAGGGAAATAAATCTTTCCACCCCATCCTCCACGCCCAGTTAAATCCCTTGTTACTCTTTCCAAAAAATCTTACTGAAGTTCATAGCTACCAATACTTGTAAACCGTGATATTATCTTCTGCTTTGCCTCAATCCCTCCAGTGTGTTAATCATCTGTGTCCTTTCTACCCCTATGGGTTCCTTTCAATCTATCTCACCCGGCACTGGTGAGGGATGAAGATAACATTAATATCAGGGGGACATATGGGACCAGTTGGAAGAGTGCAGGACCATCTCATGGAATATGTCGACTGTCAGAAATCCTGCAATAACTCCTTTAAGAAATACAGCCTTGCCATCTCAAAAATCTCAGCAGCTTGCAGGAAACAAGAGATATTTTAGTTTTTGCTTGGATGAGACTACAAGGGAGGGGAAAAAAAAAAAAAAAGTGCCTGGCTGAGCTGCTATTTCTGTACCTGTTAATGGATGCTGTTGGCTGAAATAAATCTGAATGTGGGCTGCCTCTGCAAGCTGCAGAACGGCATTGCCTTGTGACTAGAGCCCCCTTTTCTGCTATTACCTTAGATAGTCAGGAATAAAAGTTGATTTACCATAAAGACTCATGAAGTCTCTTCTGGACTGGGGAAAATAAAATATTTCACAAGGAAGAGAGCGTTGCACTGCCTGGCATGGAGGGTGCCAGCTTCTGTTTCCTCCTGCCTGGTGCCGTACAAAGGCCTTATGAAGCCAAACAACGCCCCTCCTTTGAGCTTTCTTGGTTAATTGCCACCTCTGTTCCAACTGAGTTTCATTCTCTACCTGTTGAGAAAGCAGAAATTTCCTCACCTTAGTCATGCAGGTCTCCGTACTGACAATATTTGTACATCCAATTGAGAAGTGTTGGAAAGATTACATCACCTCAAGAACAAGGCATGCCTTTCCAGTGAGATAATGACTGTAGGTGGGTCATATTGGAAGCTCAAATATTTAATGGGAGATGGAAATCTGAGCAACTTTGAGACTAAGGAAAAAAAAAAAAAAAGGGAAATAAAACAGATGGAGAGCAGCAAGGGGCAGAGCTGCTGGCAGAGGCTTGGGGCACACAGGTTGCTCCCGCAGCTCGGAGTGTCGTGGAAAAGGGCTCCAGCTGGACCATTGCTGGGACTGTGCCTCCATCCCCATGACTAGATGGCAGAGAGACAATGGTGGGAGGAAAAAGCAACAGCAATCAGAAGATGGGAAAGATTCTGATTTTATACAGGGAGATAGGACGAAACATGATTAAAAAGGAGGAATAAAGAGCGCCGTATGGAAATCCAGTGGAGTTCTCCTATTTGGCATTTCACATAATCTTGGCTGGTTATATTTTTTTTTTTTTTTTCTGAAGACTTAATGAGTTGAGATCCTTGATCAGGCAATCTCTCGTTCTCCATGCTTTAAGTGGTTTCGTTTTTTTGGTGTTTTTTTTCTCCCTGACATTTATTTTTTATAATTTGTGAAAAAAATAATCACAGCTTGTTTAATGTGATGGGAGTGGGTGTTATTTCTATTTTTTAATTCAAGTGGTCATTTTCATTGCTCAATGGAATTTAGTTTTTAACAAGATAACATTTTCCCTCATAGAAAATATCCAATTTTTTTAACAGAAACGTTTATGGTTTTGAACTGCTGTCTTAAAAAGGCCCACAGAATATTATGTCTGGTCCCCTATGAAATGCAGTGAAAAGATGCTGCTCTTCTGATCTAGCTGTATTGACAATCCTGGGAGACATTTTGTAGAAGTCTCAATCCCAATTTCAATTTTCAATTCAGTCAGTTCCCATGTGCACTAAAACGGTGCGTGAGGACAGGATTTTTAAGGATGCAGCCTCCTCTGAGACCCAGGCTGGCCCGGAAAGGAGAACACACTTCTTCTCACAGGGACACTATTTTGTTTTTGTGTTTGGCTTTTACTCCACTTATCCAGAATTAGAAATCGTTGCATAATTGACACCAGATGAACAAGTATTGTGAAACGACTAAGGAAAAGAAGTGTGTGTGTGGGGGAAACATGACACTTGTTTAGATTTCTAACAAAGCATACTTCCACATGCAAGCGTGGACACGTTACACTCAATTATCCACCATCTGACACAGCAACCCTATAGTTATTATCCTAGCATCAAAGCAAACACTGCTGGGGTATAAAACCTGCCCTGGGAGAGTCCTGCTTGTTTTGGAGGCTGCAAGACCTATAAAGGATGAAGACTTCTCTTCTTGTCGTGCTCGTCATTGCCCTGTGCACGGAGAGTGGTGAGTCTCCAAGGATTGCTTTGTGCTAGCGAGACCCCCCCCCCCAGAGGTGGGGCTCATATTTGATATTAGAGGATGACAAGGGGATTTTGCAACACGAATCGTAAAACGAGGCTCTAGACAATATTCCAGTCCTCGGGACAAGAAGCCAGGGGACGTAAAACGTAAATGAGGCTCTAGACAATATTCCAGTCCTTGGGACAAGAAGCCAGGGATGTATCCCCACCAGAAGTTGGAATATGCTGAGGAGCTGAAGTGGGGGATGAGAAACCCACCTCACCTGACTCGTGCAGTCCCAGCCCAGCCCTTGGAGTGGCTCAGCGTAGGCAGCTGAGAGCCCTTGGTGCAGCTCCCTCGGAACGGGGTGGGGGGGTTAGCTGAGGGATATACAGAGCTGGGCAGGGAGAGGGCAATATGTGCAATAAAGCTGCAGATTTGACATAAACCAAACTACAGTCTGATTTTTTTTTTTTTTTTTTTTTTTTTTTTTTTTTTTTTTTTTTTTTTTTTTCCACTTGCCTGCTTATTGGTTGCAATTACAAACCATCATTACTTAAATCATTAGAGCTGGTCATGCCACAAGAAGACGTAATTCTGGCTCCCATCTCCTTCTTGCAGCTTGTTGCTTTGAGGTATAATCTGCTGATCCCAGGACGCAGAGTCACATTCTCGTCCTGTTTTCTTGGGTTTTTTTGGTTTTATTTTTCGTGACTCTGCACTTTAACTCTGCCTGGTTGGGCTCTGCCAAGGACAGCTGCCTGTGCCCCTGGGAGCTGACCCCTTGCACAGGGGCAGGCTGTGGGTCAGGCACAAACCAGAGGGTGCAGCCCTGAATATCCCTCTGACTATTCCAGGGGAAGAGTTGATCCCCTCAGCTCAGGGGGCTTTTGCCTTATTGCAAACTGATTTTTCTCAGGCTTTGCAGTAGGGTTTTACCTGCAAATTACTGGCCATTCTGGTCCTGGTCTAGCAGAGCACTTAGGCTCACACTTAATTTGAGGCTGGAATGTTCTTACTGTGGGACTTCAACAGGCTTTAAACTTGGCATGTGCTAAACCGTTATGCTTAATGGTGTTGGGAAAGTTGAGCGTAATAAAAGGATTGTTTTTTGCAGCTTATCAACTGTAATCGCATATTTTTACAAAGATCACATAATGAGACAGCAAACTTATCAAAGGAGTCAGTGAAAATTAACACAAAAGCACCACTTCGCTGTGCAAACTAGCCAGAAGGCTAGTTGCTGTTCTAATTAATCCTGAACCTGACGGATTTTAAAGGTGTAAATCCTGCATCTGCGGGCACTTGCACTTGTTAATGCTTTACATGTGTAAGCTGTTTATCTGGGCGGCTCGAATTGTTCACATGAAAATCTTCCTTGAGGACTGTTGTATTTCAGTTAGAGCAGAGGTCTTGGGGGGTGCAGACGGGAGACCTCCAAAGGCAGCCTGGTTTAACCCCGGGTGTGCATCCTGAGTGAGGCACACATTGAAAGAAATACTGGTTCTTTCCCCACTCAGCCCTCGTTGCAACAGATATCTCGACAGATGCAATAAAATCAGAAGTGTTTTTCGTTAGCGTGAGCAACATGGTCCTACCTGACTTCAGGGTCTTAACCGAGCCACCAGGTTAGGAGCCCATATGCCTCCAAAGTCCTCTATAGTAAATTGTGAGTGAGAGAGAAATCTCCTGAGCACAGAGAGAGGTGGCAAAATCACCCCTGAAGGCTGCTCACCCCCTCTCCTGGCTAGAAGGATCCCAGGGCAACCAAACTCTGAAATCAGCAGCTTTGGGAGGTTGAAACAGACTTGGGCGTGCAACAAGCTCTACTGTTTCCTTCACACATTCAGGAAGTTACTCTTGGAGTGGGCTTGATTAAAGAAGCTGTATTAATTAAGGAATAAATGAGCTACATGTCTGGAAAACCCAGTCTGGGGACTCTGCTCTAGCGTACGGTTATTCTGGGAAGAAAGGGTGGTTCCCAGTGGGGTGGAGCAGAAAGGTACCCGTATGGGCTTTGCACAAGAAAAGAGAATGAAGCCACACCACTTTGTGTGCAGATGTTCTGAAGGAGGGTCCCAGACCTTAAAAAAAAAAAAAAAAATTAGCTTGCAGTGCCAGGACAATACTGAATGCAAGGACAGCTGAGAGGTTCTGGAGGTAGAAATGACCAAGGGAAGGAAGCAAATTGCAATAGTTTTGGTGTCAAGTCAGAGTGAACCGGGTGCCAGGGCTGAGGTTTTTGAAATCGTAAGGGTGTCAGGCATGGGAACAGAAGGAGATGGGCTGTGAGTCACTGCAAACCAGTCGCCTGGCCTCTGTGTCCTCTGCTAACTGCTCTTCGTGAGAGACCACAGAGGGACAACAGGAACGGTGAGGGCTACAGACCGCAAGAGGAAAGTGAAGGTCTGTGCTGGGTGGCCATGGAAAGGGTGAAGGGGCTGCTAACTGCAGTGGGGAGACAAGAGTTTCCACAGAGATGCAGGAGGATGAATAGTGCCTAAAGGCATTTTTGAGGCTTCCTATGAAATACTGATCACCTGATCTTACGGTCTGACCTGGGGCCAGGTCTGGGCTAGTAGGACACTAAGGAGCAGAGAGTCAGTTTGAGCCAGACTGAGCTTGTCTAAGGTCAAACAAGGGCAGCAATGAGGTTAGGACAGAGCTGGTAAAGGCACTAACAATGACAGAGAAGCTCCGGCAAGGGAGAAGAAGAGTCAGACAGATAAAGAGCGAGGAAGGCAAAGCTAAAAGACAGTGCTGGTACAAGAATAAAACAGATATTAACTGGCCATGGATAGCTGGAAATGAGACAAACGAGTCTAATCTCCAGTGGGTGACATTACTGCAGGAGTGTTTGCTCCAGATAAACAGACATGTAGGAAATTTCCCTTATCGTGCAAAGAAGCCTGCCCCAAGGATCTCTTTGCTATGAATGACCGCTTTAGGTTCCTTGAGTGCAGGCTGTTCTCATTCATTCGTATTAGCACAGCGCCTTGCAGATGCTCAGTGCTACAGACGTACGCGGCGCGTAGTGTTAGGCAGTCATCACCCACCGACGGCTGTGGGATCTGCTGCAACCAAGGGGATGGTTTGCTGAGCCCTGTCTTCTGCAGGAGAAGCTCTCCTGACACGAGAGAGCTCTGAAAAAATGAACCGGCCAAACGCACGCATTCATTTTCCTGAGAAGCAGATCTAGGTCACTTGTCCCTTGCTTGAGATACGTTGTGCGGGCACGCAGTAAACAGCTGGAGAGGGACTCATCATCGGGAAGAAAAGTGATAGGACAAGGGTAATAGTTAAATTGAAAGAGGGTGGACTTAGAGTAGAGCTAAGGCAGAAATTCTTCCCTGTGAGGGGGGTGAGGCCCTGGCACAGGCTGCCCAGAGAAGCTGTGGCTGCCCCCTCCCTGGAAGGGTTCAAGGCCAGGTTGGACGGGGCTTTGGGCAACCTGGGCTGGTGGAAGGTGGCCCTGCCCGTGGCGGGGTGTGGGGAGGGTGTGACTAGATGAGCTTTAAGGTCCCTTCCAACCCAAACCATCTATGATTCTATGAAAATATTCATGTCTAGTATGGCCAGGGGCGTTACTCTTAGACACGTGTCTCCCATTCTGTATTAATTTTTTTTTTTTAATAATTCACTGTTGGACTGTGTATTCTGAGAAAGGATGTGTAGGCAAGAACTCTTCAGATGACTTGAGATGTGAAAAAATGTGGACAGGAACCCAGTGGTCTCTTTCCATAGAAGGACCAGTGGCCAGCAACCAAGGCTTGGAGGAGCCAGGTTGAAAAGAAGCCAAAGAGTTTCATGCTGCCAGTGGTAGGAGACTGGAGCGCTCTTTCCAAGAGCACGCTGGGGATGACAGATGTTTCAATGGACTCAAGTTAGTATCCAGAAGGAAGATCCCTTGGGGGTTACTAAATGAGCACACCACATCAGTGTCAGGAATCTGAGCTTAAAGGAATTTGCGTCCAGGAGAGTCGCTGGGGCCCAGTTTCACACACCCAGGAGGAGGTTGTCTGCCTGTGGCTGCTGGGCTTGGCAGATCCTCCATCTGGACCAGCACCACCAGTTTTGTCCTCCTATGGATATTTTTAGAGGTGATTGATGGGTGTTGTGTGGTTTTTTTTTGGTTTTTTTTTTTAGCTTTCTCCTTGACGTGCTTCACATGCCAAGATGCATCTTCCAATATGGAATGTCTCAAACCAGCCACATGCTCCGAGCACGAGAAGTACTGTCTCACAACCTACTCTACCAGGGGATTCGGTAAGTGTGAAGCTTTTCTAAGGCTCTGGTGACAAGACGGGGTTCAGGTTAGGCTGACTCCAGAGCCTCCTCCCACCAGGAGGTGTGGTGGAAGAATTAATGAGGATCAGAGAACACCTTGCAGCAGGTGGGAACTCGGCGTAGTCTGTCTCTGCTGCAAGATATTGTAACAATACCACACTGCTGATTAAACATAGGAAAGAGACACATGGGAACAAAGAATATTTCTCCGCACAAACCCTTTATCTCCTCTCCAAGCTCAAATATATGCTCACCAGGTGGTGGAGTCAGAAAGGGCCAGGTACTGTGGAAGGAGCAGTCCCGAGGCACGGGGACCACGATGTCTTCCAGTCTTACCCTGTAGAAATGCGTTAGATCTCCTCGCCCTAGGTCGCGCTCAACTGGCCCTGAAAACAGGAGAGGAGTTGTAAGGCCTGGAGATGGTCCCCATGGGTCACATACACACAAATAATGATGCAGCGTGACAAAGCCCAAGGGAAAACCAACAGCATTAAGTACAGGACAACATACTCCCCACTGGATATTGCCCGGCAAATCTGCCACTGAAGCCTGTAAAAAATACACAAGATAAAAACTCCCAACTTTTCTCCCTGTTTTCTCTCTCCCACTTCAGGCGACAACCGTAACCAGCGTATTAGCAAGAAGTGTTCTGCATTTTGCCCAACAATTGACCTGAACATTGGCATAGCCGGTGTTGCTACCAGCTGCTGTGAGACTTCCTTGTGCAACATCAGTGGTGCCAGCAGTGTGAAAACCAGCTACGCTATGATAGCTCTGGGTGTCTTGGCCAGTCTTGCCTGCATCCTCCGTTTGGGTTTTTAAAGGGGCTGGGGTGGGGTGGGGGGGGGGAAGGAGAGGAAGAAGCTTCTTGGCTTTGCCTACAAGGGGTCAAACTCCCATCTGTACAGTGTGAATGCTGCCCTGTTTTCTCCTACCTGGAAGGTCACATCCCATCAGCAAATATTTTTGCTCTTTCAGTGCTCTGATGATAACGCCCAAGAGCACAGCCCTACCTCAAGATGGTCTTTGGAAGAGAAAGGCACGATGTGGAGCCCTACACATGCAGAAGGGCACCATATAGTCACGATCTCTCCTGCTATTGGCCTTTATAACTCCACGATTTTTTTTTTTCTCCCCTTCATTTTGTCCCTGCCATTCTCTTGAGCCATTTTTCCCTTTATAATATTTTCTGGCCTATATTATTTTGGTCTGAGGAAGCCTTTAATATAAGAGTTGTTAAATAGAAACTGGGCACAATAAAGTCTTGTTTTATTCTATTCTGTGACTCGGTGGTGTGGTACATCGGGCGTAGCAGCTGGATGCATCCATGTTAGCAGCAACAAAAGCGGAGGCGTCATTCTGCAAGTCCAATTGAAATAAAGCTGAATTATATTACAGTTGCTTTGCAGTCACTTCAGGAAGCCTCTCCCTAGATTTTATTTTCATTTTCTGCGTTGGCAAAAGCGTCGTTTTTGTGACTCCATTTCAGAGTAAACTGTACTCTATTTAACTTGCTTTCGGTTTCTCTTCTGGGTCAGCTGCCTGAAAAGAAACTGCTGTTGAGCTCTTCAGCAGGCAAACAGAGGGGGACAAGGCAGGACCTGGCGTGAAAGGATCTTGAGCATTGTTTTCTTTAAACTGATTTAAGGCCTTCCAGTGGAAATTGCTTTATAAGCATTACGGATTATTTTGAAAAGGGAGAGAAGTATCTTGCATGGTGCTTAAAGGAAAATCATCCAAAAAGACAGATGGTTTCTACTGCGTGTCTGCTGGAGTCTGGAAAAAAAATATATTAACTTTGAAAATAAATCTTTTATGTTTGCTAGTCCAGTTTCCTGTTGTGGTTAAAATTGAAGGAACTCATTCCCCTGCACTGACCTCGCTTGTGGATAATCTTAAGACTGAGAGTTTCTCTCTCTCAAACCCTTCCGAAGCGAGTCACAGGAGGCTGAAACGCTTTCTCCTGAGCTGAAGAAGCTCTCCACCAGGTTTACCCCAGCGAAGATCTCCCGGTGTAATTAGCTGGGTGCAGCTCACCCAGCTGGTTTTCTCTCTGTAGACTCATTGCACAGGGAGAGAAGCCGTACACCTTGCTCACTCTGCTGGGTATTTGCCGAGAGCAGAGGAGCCGCAACGCTCGGAAACAGCCGGATTTGTAGAACAGGTTTGCAAAGGAAATGTGGTCTCACGGCTCCATCTCCCCCCAGCCTGCTCCTACCCCTTCCTGTCCACCCTTTCTCCCATCCATATCCAACCCCCAGCTAAGCACTCCTTGTCCGTTTTCTCTTCCAGCTTTCCTTATTGGCTTCTCCATCCAATCTTAGTCTGGGCTTTACCTCCAACCTCTATTTCCTTGCTAAAGCCTCAGCTCATTTTTTTTTTCTCCTCAGTGCAAATGCAAGGTTGGCCCAGGGTGCTCTGTCTCTAGCCATGAGACTCTCTGTTGTCCCCACGGTTTCTATTGCACTGGCACCACCCAGCTGAGCCCGCTTCAGTCTTCTGTCCAACCTACTCTTTTCACTTTTCTTCCCCTTCTGCCAGATTTGGAGATACTCAAGTGGCACACACATTTGAACGCCTCAAATGTGCCAAGAACTGTTCTGTGGCCTTGGGTGGCCATGCTCCGCCCCACACCCAGGGGCGGGTGGTAACAACTGAACCATTTGAAGGAGTGTTCAGACTTTCCACAGGTTTAGGATTTCTTAGGGTCGACGCTGCTTGGCACAGGCAAAGGCCAAGCTGGGGGCTAGTCCTGGCCTATTTTTGTGAATACAGACCCACTCTTGGCATCCAGGTTTAAAATAAGGTCCTTTCTTATGCTACCTGAACTTGGCAGGTGCCTTCGTTTTGGGTTGGGAGGGAATCTGGCATGCGAAGGAAGGTACAAAAACACATGGGCAAAGGGGGTGAAGGCACGTGGTAGAGCCTGCTGCTGCCGTGGAGGGTTTTGTGGTCTGATTCTGGCTGTTGCATGAAGTTATAAGCAGCACCGGGAAGCAGGGAGTCCCATCCTCAAGGGAGCAGCACCATCCATGAACCCCAGCCTGTCTCTCTCTTGCCTGGTTTCTCCCTGTTCCCACAGGTTTTCATTCCCTACTGCCCAGCACCACAACGGTGCATGTGGGCCAAAGATTGATCCACATCTCAAACTACATAAAAGGGTCCTTATCTGGAAGTGGGAGCAGCAATTGCCCTGAGGTCCTAAACCCATGAAAACTTCCTTAGTGAACCCTCCCTCGGCAATGGTGTTGTGTAAGAGGAGACTCCTCACTGCCAGCCCTCCTGAGAAATCCTGATACGACATCTCCAGCAGATGTTGCTGCCTAATTCCACATCCCTCTGCCCGGAGTTTCTTATTTGTTGGCTCCCCATGGTTGCATACTCCTTGGATGAAAGTGGAGAGCAGAGACATTTGGGATGCCTGGAGGGCTCTCAGGAAGAAGGTGAGTGTTTCGTTCAAATAATTGGGATTGCTTCTGAGATGTAGCTGGCTCTCTCTGTGTGGATCATCTAAGAGCTCGGGTCTTGCTGCTCCTGAATCACTGCACCGGGACCTGAATCAGCCAAGGGGGCCTTGCCCTGCCTAAAATAGGCACCTGGAGGAGGTGGTTTACTTTGGCCCTTCTTTTCCCTCACTCAGGGCTCCACCACCGCTGATTCTGAAGGACCTATGCTGCCTTCTGCTGTCCTCAAATAATTCGGCTGCCTTTTCCCTCACAACATGAAATTTCCTCCCTTTGTCCCTGTTTATTTGCCCTGATTAACACACAGTGAATCAAGGACAAAGCAAGAGACAAGATGGATGCAAAAGGTCAAAGCAAGGTCTTCACTGCGTCTAAAAAGCTTCTGAAAGCCATGGAATATGACAAAAGCATCCCTTTTTCAAAGTTACCTGCTGCTCTCTCGTCATATACCCAAATCATGGCTCCATTCTGAGGTCCACTTTAGTTTTTCTGAATGACTAGCGATGAGATATATTACTCTATGGAGGTGACGCAGCTTCCTTGCATTTTTTTTTTTTTTTTCAGTCTTCCTCAATCTCTCTTGGTGTCCCTTGGCTTGTCTGCTCCGGGCCCTCCTGCAGTCTGAAAGCTGTGATGTTGGGTGTTAAAAGGATTTTACCAGACTGTGGGTATCTCTAGACTTGCTTTATTAACAACTCAGACTTGGGCCATCACCTCGGTGAGTGGCAACAGCTGACAAAAAGCATCCTCTATATATACACCATCTACCATACGATACAAAGAGTCTTTGGTGGTTTTCCAGGAACTTTCAGCTCTCGCTTCATCATCAGTTTCAAAAGTCCACTGTATTCCACAGTTTTGGCTAGTTCTTATCGTGTCATTCTAATTCCTCGTGGGACACCGCTGTTCACTGGTACGGTCAGCATGGTTACTTATCTTCAGTATTGTTCCTAGAGCACCTGTGCTCTGTTAATGAAACCTATAAAACAATATCTATTTATTAATTATTCCTGCTATTAATAATATCCTAAGAGAAAAGAGCTTTCTAAAGCTTGTTCCTTTTACACTGGGCAGCAGGAGACACCCTCCCCGTGCTGGCTGCTTAAGCGTTGCCTCTGTCTGCATTGAGTTTTGTAATCTGTCCTCTTGAGAAATAAGGAATCACTGTGACCCAGTCACTGTGCTGCAAACTGACTGCTCTCCAGACGTGAGAGGAGGGCATGCTCCAGCACCACAGCGCTCCTAGGTACTAACGAAGATGTTAATAACCTGAGGACAGCTCCCAGATAACAGTTCGACACAGAAGAGCTTGTTTCCTACTCAAATTTCTCTCCTTAGTACACATTTGTTGGCAGTGCTGGGGATGTCTTAGCCTCACCACAATCTTTCAGAGCTGACTTGCAACATCTCATTGCATGAGGGTTCATGTAGACACAAATGGACGTTGGTAAAGTCAACACGGAGGGGTGTATGGCAATAACCAGAGTGCTCTTTCACTCACGGAGGAAGGGAAAAGGAAAATATACAACAGAAGTCTATGGGATAATTAATAGCACCAAAACAAGGTAAAAAGAGTTGCTTCCTTCTACCCTCATTGCAAAACACCAGCAAGAGGACACACCCACTAATTACAAAGAACAACCTGTTTATAATCACTTGGGCAGTAAACCGAATCGCCCTCCGCAAAGGAGAAGGTTTGATTTGATCATCACCAGCACGTCCCCTGCTGACCTCACAAACCTCCAAAAGCAAGAATGGGGATGTCTATTTTGGTATCGGGCTTGAACAACTCTGGAATTCACCACCTGATGCATCATTCTAGGAGTTTAGGAGGGCCTGAAAAAGGATCACACGCTCTCATGGATAAGGAAATCAGCTGGTGTTGGGGTGATTCATATTAGAAACAGACGAAAACGGTGACTTCTAGGGAACTGCCTGTTAAGTTATTCCATATTTGCCAGCCAAAGGTGGGTTTGGCAATTTTTTCTTTTGTGCATTCTGCTACCTGCTGTCCAGGACTAATCTCACTTTGAAAGAAGCTCCGTGAGATGGCAACTTGAGCTCTTACAAGATGCATCTTGTATGAGGGTCTATTTCCCAGAATGTCAGAGCCAGATTTGAAGAAATTCAGAGAGAGTAACACAGAAGAATGAAAGACAAGAGATTGATTTAAGGGGAGAGATTGAAAAAGAGAGTTTGAGAGACGGCTTTTTTTCAAAGTAGAGCAGCAGTTCCAGGATACCAATTTGTGGTAACGTAAATGGAGGCTTGATTTCCAGAAACTGTTGAGTGCGGAGAAAAGCAGAGCCTCTAAGGAATCCCTAAAATGGAAGCAAAATTTCATTAAATAAAAAAGACCATAAGGTATTTGAGAATTACAGCCAAGGGAGGAGCGAGCAAGGGGATTAACTACAGGGAATGGAAAACTGATGAAGAAATGAAGACTGACAGGAAAATATGAGGAAAATCTTCTGTTTAACTAACCATTAGCTAATTTCATTTAGTAAACCACACTGATTTTATCGGAGATAAACCAGAGTAGGCCAGCTGAGAGTCTGACCTTCTGGTTCTATGGAATAATTAAAGAAAACGAACGATATGAACCCTGGTATTTCACATGCTGACAATCCAAAGGGATTAGGAAAATGCAGTGTTAGGACTATCTCCCCGTGCCTCCCGGCTCTGCTATTTCATCAGCACAGCTGCTGCTTCTGCTGGGAGGAAGGAAAGGAAGAAACCTGGAGAAGAAGAGAGCAGATCCAATTTCCCATCACTCATATGAC